AAGCTTGGAAGTTACTGATCACAATACTTATTAAACGGCTAAACTAGCCAGCACATTATGATTTACAATATAGATATCTTCTATACTTCTAAATTCTAAACATCAGATGTCCAGTTTCTAAAACAAACATTGCTGAGCGAGAGCTATGGGGTTAAATCGCTTGAAGCAGATAGTAATTCCTTATCGTACTAACTGTAGAATGTGAATTTATAAACATGCACTTATATAATACCACTATTGTAGGACGATTTAAAGGAAGGAAGAATTCACTACGTGGATGAATGATGAAGGTAGCAGAACATTGTGTTGTGTTTATTGTTTTATGGATTCAAAAACAAGACGAAAATTTACCTTACGATAGCTTTCATCGTACAATAAATGAAACGAGAACAACTTTATTGCATGTGAAACTTATTGTAAAACCTACTCTTAAGAATAGTACAAGATCTTAAAACTCCAAAACTCAAACGTATATCTATATTTTGTGAAATCTGTCACTGCCATTGAATTCATAAATCAAAGCTTACATAATGCCAGAATCAAACTTTCTTTCCCTGGCACCTGATACCCAGATCACATTCAGAAAGAAGTAAACAGTATAATAAGTGTGTGGATAAAATAAATTACGTTTGGGTTATGCAATTGCTTAGAAAGAATATTGGCAGATTTCACTATTTAATTTGACTCCGTTCTGTCGAATAAATCATCTCAATTGATCCGTTAAACCATTTTAACCACTTCCGTTTGGTTACATTAATAAATGGATTAATATTTCTTGTAGCATATTCAGTAGCAAATAAACTAACCACGAATGGGTATAACCCATTCAAGAAGACAAACATCTCGACTTATCATCTTTTTTAGCTTCCAATTATACAAACTTCGTTTTACGTCAGTGGTTTCTCCTTTGATTATACCGAAAGCAGATCCTCTTTAAATAATATCCTGTGCTCGCATAAATAAAACGCAAAAGATTATTTACGATATTTTTACGTGTTTGCAGTAGCCACTTGCCAAACGCAGAAGTCCTTTCTCTTCACTTGCTCAGGGTTAGTGAAAATGAGACTGATATGAGCAGAAGGCCGCAAGACCTTGTGGACAGGCCGATGGTAAGGTTGATCTTATGTTCAGATGCCATGGGACACATAGAAGAGATGGACAAAATAGTAGAAACACATGTTAATTTCTACGTTTTACTTATTAATATACAGTTGGTCTACTACGAGCAGACAATACAACATTGACACGACGTGAAATTAACGAAACAAGGCGTTGTGCTTCGAAACTTTGTTTCAAGAATTGGACATAGAGCGTCGATAACTAAGGGTGGCAATGATAGGTCCTAAAACTCGGCCGTTAGCAATATGAATTGGTGCACTGTCTTTATGAAAGAGATCAGCTTCGTTTGGGAATAAAATGTTCATCATAGCTCGAACTTTTGTAATTATTTACTGTCTCTTTATCTTTGATCATAGGCCTTCAGTTATTTCTAACATAAAAATATACCATACTGTTACAGGGCTTCTACTATGCTCAATTAATAATATAAGACATTCAGGGTTGTAAGCTTATTTTTGTGTTTCATCAAACATAAGCATATCCATTTCATGAGAAAAGTGTAAATGGTGATTCATCTGTTCAAACCACTTTTTTGTATTCATGTTATATCTAATATTTATTTTCTGGAAACCATTTACTTGAACATTTTCAGTGTTATTACTAGTTTCTGTATGACAGACCTTCCGTGGTAACCCATTTTTTGTATTTACGTTCGAGTTGTTTTGACAGAGAATGGTTGTAGGTTAACCTTAAGGTTCAGGTATAGCCGTTCTTAATACTGAACTACTGATCAGAGAGAAGGCAGCCAGATAGCAGTACCTGCTGCCACAAGAGCTTTGTCTGTCCCTTTGAACGGTATAACGGGATTGGCTGTAACTGTTACAACGTGCGCACATTTGAAGAAGTGTGGTCAGGGGTATCACGTCTCGAATTTTAGACTCTTTGATCCGCAGCATGATACGCTAACTACTAGGCCACGCTTACCAACAACAACAACAAAACAAAAAAACAGGCAAAAAAATGTTTTTTCATGCCAGCTTTTCAATAATATTTGCTTATTTGCCTATGAAACTTCTCCTACTGAATAAAGTATATGTTTTTACTGCACACTGTTATGTGATAAACATATTTGGAATAATTTAACGAATGAGAATAATATAAATGAGAAAATCAACCTGTGTTCCACTGCTGCTACCATGTAGCCGTTAGAGGCAAGTTCAAGACAAATAGTGCTATACGAAGAGCGGTAACATCCCATGCCATGAGAAAACACAACGACTGGAAACATCCCACATCCTTTCAAAGGAGCAGCATTCCACAAAGCAGGACAGTAGACATTACCTAAAACAAGCATATAAACTCAATTATCCGGATGCTTGGAAACTTAAGCCAAGTATCAATTTTGTTTATGAGTTATTTCTAACAGAATCAAAGAAACTATAATGTGTGTCTTGAACAAAGACTGAATTAAATATACTGGACTTGTAAACGTCAGAATAATTATAAAGTTCTTTCAAATATTTATTGAAAACTATAAGAGACAATATATAAAACATTATTTATTATCCACATCCAGCAACATTTTTTTACGGAATGACTTGTATGATTTTCTGCACTTTTTAGCTCAATAGAATAATCTTTTCAAAACTTCAATCAATAATGCAATGTAAGTAATGCACTTTGTTATAAAAAAAAAGAAATTACAAACTTTCAATGTTTAGATTACTGTGGGAATATTTTATGTAGATGCTTATTTGATAGTTAAAAGCATGTGTAATATATTTTTTCACCTACAATAATATGTCTGTGTTTTTGTAAATAATTCCAGAGATCATTCCGCTTGCTTATCATTTTATATAAAGAAAGAAACAAAAGAAATATATTCAAACTTTAGAGGGATTCACTGTATCGAAAATGAAGAAACAGAAAAAGATGGGTGTAGAAATACTCAAGAATCGATAGTTAATACAAGAGACTTCAAAACAGCTTTAGAACTCGGTGAATTTGGAGGCAGCAATAAACCAAATTCAACCTATTTCGATTCAGACGTTACTCTACAGGATATATTTCAGGAAGTAAACCCCCAACTCAAAGAACTGGGAAGTCAGCACCAGCATCTCGGTATAACAAATGCTACTAGACAGTGGGTGTTTTATCGTCGGCTGAAAAAAGCAGTCAATGAATATACAGTTCGTCATAATCAAGCAAGTATATAAACTTCAAATACAAATGCGTCTTATCAGTTAAAGTAGGTAAATATAACGGTCACAAATATGTATAAAAGTGCATATGTGAAAACAAATAAAAAAATATATATATATAAACGAAACTTTATAATGAGGTCTATAGTATTAATACATTATTATCAAGTTATATTGAATGTAAAAGTGAAAGTTAAACTTTAAACTGAATTGGTTTACTATATCTGAGAGAGTCCATTAGGCGTAGAATAATTTTATTCATATCTAAGTGTTCTACATATTACCCCTTTAGCAAATGTATCTCGTTTTCTTTAGGCAAACTATTTATTTTAAAAATATACCTGGCAAGCGTAGCTGACTCTAAGATAAACTCCGCATTTTCTGCTGTAGAGGGTGCTATACATGTGTCAGCTAATCTCACAGTTTAGTTGAAAATAATCCTATAGGCGGCAGGTGCTGACTTGGTTTCCTCCACTAATGAGCAGTAGTAAATTAGGGATGACTATGTCAGAACCTAGGTCATATGTAACATATGGCGCATAAGTTTAACAATACTAATACCAAAGCTATCTTTCAGATTTTATATTTAATTTTTAAACTACGAAATGTTAGGGGTGACTTTATCTTTGTTGTTTACGTATACTTAGTTTTGGATACATAACATTACATTACACGCTGTTGTTTTGGAAAGCGATTTTATATTTGAATATATTTACTCTGATGAAATTTTATGTTCAAACTGCAATACGATGACCATATTCATAATCAGTTTCGTAAAGATCATTTGATCTTTTGGCCCATTAACAAATGTGAAGATTAAAAGTTGATTTTTTTATTAAATTAGTTCCAAAATTTACAATTTACAAGAGTGTGATATGTATATCAGCGAAACCTTTTCAATATATTATTTAAACCATTCAAGATGGCTTTATAGTTTCATCACACGTCATGAGTTTCTCAAACATTAGTTTCATTTAAAGTTTCTTTAAATCGCTTTTACAAATAAAAACACCTTATGGATGATGTTCAGATTCACAGCATACAACGACAACAACCTATCTGAATGCATGCATGTAGAAGTGTAATATCCTATACTGTATGTATGTATGTCCAACTAACTCCTCCTTCTAGTGCTAGCAGGACCAAACATAGCAGATAGACGAGGGAGATTCATTATTTATGTGGTCTAGCCTCCCTATAAATACGAGGGGGGGGGGCGTAAACACCCCGGAAAGTTAGCCAGGATGAACCCGAATCTGACATTGGTTTTTTGTGTTCCTGACCCCCCTCAGTTACCCAGAGGCGCCATTTTTGCAACAATGTTCAAACTCCCACTCACAAACTAGCGAGACCAAACATGGCACACACGCTTAGGTACTATGGGCGGGTGACCTAATGTTTTTTTTCTTTTCAGGAACTGATACCCTTGGGGTAACTATAGAAGTAACTGGTGATAATGGAGAAGCTTGTCTGTACATTTGGGCCTCTGTGAATCATGAGAGGGCCTGTAAATCCAGCAGCGGAGCGCGGGTACATTTGCTAGTAGCTATAATGAATTTACCTTACAACTTGCTTTATAGACGGAAATAATATAGCATAGTAGCAAAACTATTGTGTATTAAGTTAAACCTATAAACTAAGATGCTTAAGAGATATAACTAGTTAAAAATTTATTCATATATTTTAAATAAATCTTTATCTTAATTTACATTTTATTTTATCATATCATTCATATAAAAGACAAAACAACGAGCGTTTGACTGCATAAAAGTGTTAGACTTTCTCGAAGAACTAAACAACGGCTATCCCATCCAAAACGTTATCAATCCATCTTTTCAAACTAGCCAGTTTATGGGAATTATGGACCTTTCAAAAGCAGCAGTGGCCGGACACTCGTTTGGAGGAACTACTGCTATTCTCTCGTTAGCACTGGAACACCGATTCAAGTAATCATAACGTTATTTCTGGTATAGATATTTACGATGTGCTTCTTTCTCAAATTAAGTTCGTTGAACATTAAAAATTCTAAGAGTTATGTTTAATGATTAAGAAATATTGATCCAAATTTGCACACTGTAAGAAAAAGCCGAACGATATTTAGAATTTTGTTTGTTCGCTGTTGATACCGTGTCAACTAACCATAGTTTTATTTGAAGATAAAGTATTCCAGCCAATACGGCTTGTTATTGGCCGTAGTTTTATTTCTTTGTGAAAATGTTATATGGGTTCTGTTCGAACTTTATATTGAACTCTTAAAAGTTGATGGCACGGGTTGGCCATGTGCCGTGGTTTGTTTGTTTTAGCGCAAAGCTAGACAATGAGCTATCCATCAAGGAGGAGCGAACCCCGGATTTTAACGTTATTCGTCATTAAGCTTACTGCTGAACCACTGGGGTACTCCTATGGTAGAATATGAATTATTAGTCGTGTGATACCACAAAATATTCTCTGCTATTTAAGCTGTGTGTATATGTGTTATAAGAGTGACACTTAAGCACTTAATTTGGATGGTGGGTGATAAGGTCCTGCCGACTGGTTTTCTTCCTTCTTGCCATTAGTTTACAATTAGAGACAATTAGTAGCTTTACCAAATGTGACTTTGTCTATAACTCTTTATCAAGGGGAACTTTAAACATATGGCCTAACGTTAATAATAAATCAGTAAACGTAGAAAAAACAACAATGAAAAGAAAGACAAAATGATTAAACTCGAAACTTAAATACATATATAAATAAAATGAGAAAAAGGTATGTTTTATTAAACGTGGATGATCATGGTTAGAAACTTCAATACATATATAAATAAGATGATAATAAAAGGCACGCTTTATTAAACGTGGATGACCATGTTTAAAGCCGAGATTTAGTTTCTTATTGAAAAGGGCTTGAATGAATTTTATCATCAGAATTTATGTTTTTATCTTACGAGTTTTGCACTCAAGACTTCAATTCGAGCAAGTTAACTGTAAGTACTGATGTGGTGTTTTGGTGACTGCTGAACTGCTGATACATCCATAGGAATGCAATAATTATTTTTTTTTACTTTGGTCTTTCTAGTTCTTTTTATGTTTGTGCTTGGTTTAAGAATTTTGGAAGTTTTATAATCACATTTGTGATATCGTAAATTCGATTCCAAGTATCACAAACCTTGTTTTCTGCTGGTTCTCAGGTTTGTGGGCTAATGGTTAGACTAGGAATTTGAATATCCAAGGGTCAAGTCTCGCTTGACGCTGAACATACTCTATAATTTCAGTTATGGGAGCGTTATAAGTGTGAGAGTAAAGCCTATTATTTGATTCGAAACCGAAGAAAGCCCTTATTACGGTGTTGGTACTGCTGACCCATCTACATTCTTGCTGGAGAGTAGTTCATTCAAAATAAGACGGCTATACCTGAACCGTAAAGGTCTCTTTAGCGATTCCTTTAGCCCATGTGCGCATAAGGTGTCGTTCAGTTTGAAAGAAATACCAATACTAGTCTGAGGCTGGTGACGGTTTACATATTCTGATACACTAAAATTAAGTTGCTGACACAGATAACACATTAGGCATAAAACATATTTTCTTTGCACTATAGTCAAGCCGTTTGTACCCTGTATTTATAATTATCTTAATATGAATACTCAGAATAATATTAGGCTTGTTTAGGAAAAAATGATAATCAAAAGCATATATTCACAAAAGGTAACAATGAAAAAGCTTAAAAAATGGAAGCTTTGTTTGTTTGTTTGAATTTATGCGCAAAGCTACACAATGAGCTATCTGTGCTCTGCCCACCACGGGTATCGAAACCCGGTTTCTAGCATTGTAAGTCCGCAGACTGTGCCACTGGGGGGGGGGGGCAAAATGGAAGCAAAGATGATTGAAACATATTCACAACTGTGGATTATTGTTATTGTATTACTGCAAAGCTACACAATGGGCTATCTGCATTCTCTTCACCACGGGTAATAGAACCCCGAATTTTAGCATTGTAAGTCTGTAAACTTATGACACACCCACGGGGGACAACAACTGTAGAAAAATTTCTAAATAGGCGTTAGTGACTGACTTTAAATCAGATTTTACTGTTTCTATTCGTTGTCTATGTAACACAACTTCAAAATGTATTGACTTGATTATAAACGTTTTGTGAGTTTGTCTGATTGTTTTATTATGTTATACACTGTTAACTGAATGAAATAACCAATATGAACAATGATGTCTCCCAGTGACACAGCGGCAAGTCTGCAGACTTATAACGATAGAAAACGGGCTTCAATACACATGGTGGGCATAGCACAAACAAGCAAACAATTAAAAATGATAGTGTGTACATAAAATGCATAAATTATCAATACTTTTTTACAATGAAACATAAAAATGGGTTTCAAAAATGTGCTATTAAGCAACAATCAAACAAAGATTATAGGTTTCAAGTAAGAAATACGATTTTGTTCCGCAGGCTGACGGATCTCAGTAAGAGCTTTTCCTTAACTGTAGAAACAAGTTCATTATTGAGTTTACAATGGTTGCTGTTTACTAGCTGACTTATCTCTAGTCTATCAGTTCAAAATCAGGACATTAATGTGTAGCTTTGCGTGAAAATTTTATAAAAACAAACAAAAACTGAGTTCGGTGTATCAAAAACTTCTCTGCTTTTTTATTTCTTTCTATGAGCGAGTTTGGTATTGGTCATATTATATATATATTTATTAATTTTAAATAATAATTCTTATCTTCCAGGATAGGTTTAGCCCTAGATACCTGGATGTTCCCATTGGAAAATAATCAAGAGATTTTTTCAAAAGTGACTCAACCTATATTGTTTGTTAATATGGAAAAGTTTCAGACCATAAGAAACTTGAGAGTTATGAAAAATTTGGAATCCAAGTCTCTTGATCGGAAGGTGGTAACAGTCAAGTAAGCTCGAAGCCTTATCATGCTTCTGTCATTATTAAATCTCATTATTCTAATATTTCAGTTTTTTTTCTCTCATAAGTATCAGTAATTAATGATTTTGTATATACTTTCTAACCTTATTAAACTTAACTTTGCTTATCTTTGGTTAATGTATTAACAACTATTTTATATTGTTTTCCAAATTTCATTGGAACCTTATTGCTTATAACGTATGAGACAAAACATTTGACTCATAAATTTATTTCGATCTCCATTTAACATATTTTGGGAATATTTAAGGGATAGTTGACGACGAATGTTCTATATTGTTGAAAAAGGAAAATTACAAACAAAGAGAAAATAACGTATTCTTATGTTGCTAGAAATAGTTTAACAAGATTCTGATTATTGACAATTTATTTCATTTTTTGTTTGCGTTATTGCAAAATAGACAATAAGCACAATACATGACAGAACGTTGAAGTTAATTAGAAAGCTAACATGTACCCAATCCACGCCCTTGGAATGAGTGTATTCTGAAGTATGTCATTCTTCATAAATGAATGAACATTTTATGCCACCTAAAAGGAAACCACCATAAATTAGTCTTTTCGAAGGTGCCGCCATTTGATAGCGCAACGAAAACCCTCTTATCTTCTCCCTCCCTTCGCTGTGAGCAGGTTGGAATAAATGAAATGTTATAAAGGTAAATAAGTTATCTTTATGTTACTTTTATCTCACTTATGAGTTTAACATTAGCATTTTCTAACCAACTCCAACTTTATTGCTTGAATCCTACATCTCGTCTATGCAGATTTCTACTGAAATACCAGCTACGACACATGGAGATAAACAGCCAAAAGATGTCTTAAACACATCGTATATGTATAAAACCAATTTTAAGGTATTTGTAATATTAATTATCCATTTTCTTGTTTAACTGTTATGTAATTCCTTTAAGTTATATATATACATTTATATTCTGTCTCCGTCCTAAGAGGTGCAGTCCATATGAACCAAATTGATGTGGTTTTTGGTTTGGGTCCAATCCTTCGTATGTTCATTGGGGCTTATTCCCGGGTGAGTCGATTTACTACCATAGACCTCACCACCCGCCATATGTTGGTGTTTCTTGCCAAACACTTCAGTAAGTTAATAATGTTTCATACTTTACACTAATAAACTAGACTAGGGATAAATTACTTTTAACAGTTAACTAGTAAAATAGTCTAGAAGTACCTATTATATACATTGTTTTTGATTGGCAAATTTCAATGGCATTTTCTGTTTTCTATATTTCTCAGAGTAATAAATCTCACCGATATATTATATACGACCTAAACTAGTTTTATCAAAAACTATCCAGCATATGAGATTCAAAACCAGGAATTTTGTTTTACAGATTTTCATCTTTTTACCCCTTAAAGAAACATTACAGTATTGTCGCTCTTTCAATTTGAAGGCTTAGAAAACAAATGCTTCATGTGTCGTAAACCGTAGAATGATCAAACATTAGAAGACTATAACAATAATGAAAAACATGTTTATTAAACATTTGGAAGAGCATAAGTTTCAATTATCAATAATCTAGAGGAAACAGAATTTTTACTAAACTATCAGATTATACAAAAAACAACAACAAAAGCACAAAAAACACGATTATAAGAATTACAAACAAATTAAAACAAGTTTAATTGAAAATAAGAATATAAACTGGTAAGTGTAAGAAGGCGTGCTTTGATAAACAAGCTTCCTTTTATTAAAAGTTGTGTCAGATTCAACGTGTTTTGATTGTGTTGGTGTATTGCATGGTTATTTGTTGCTGCTATCTGTTTTTATTCAGATTTGAAGATTTGAAGTAAAAAAGAGGATTTTACAAAATCTCCTAAAAGTGTTTTGAATTACCAGCCAGGGACCAATTTTCACATATCCGCCATTACGATAGTAAAACGAAAGTGAATAAGTTAAATTATATTATCTTGAGAACAAAAATTCACAATGGCATCAAGTGTAGATATTTCAATGTTGCTTCATATAAGTAAGCTAACTACATGGACAGATGGCATGTGTGACAGCAAACAACAGAATTAATGAAACGCGTATTTCTTTTTCTGTTTCCTTCTATTTCGAAAAATTAAGATCCACAGAGACATAAGTAGTTAGGTGGCACTTACCAGCCACACCGCCAGAGGACACCACAAGGGTGTCGACGTGAGGCAATGGGGAGACAATGATGCCATTAGAGATGATGACGTCATAGTTCCACGAAGTGGAATCAGAGGGGTGTTGCTAGGTCGCCATGAAATAAGTTGGTAGTTCCATTAAGTGGAACCAGTGGGCGCGTCCGTATGATGTAGATCAATATGACATTATAGTAACAAAGTCTTAAAACTAATAATTTAATCTAGTTTCAATAACCATGTGTTTACAGTTTTGCTTCATCAGTAAATCATTGAATACAACTTACAAACGCTGACAGTCCTGTAGGGCTGCATACAGGTCTCAACTTGTGTTTTTCTTTTCATATATATATTTATTTGTATTACAAGTGTTTTACAAAGGCCGACAATATTACTAAGGGTAGTGTTTGCATTGGCAGAGAATGATGAGTTCATTGTCTCAACATATGAAAGTATATATTTAATTACGTGTAAATCTATTATTGGTTTAATATAATAAATCAGTTCTCGACACAATATTTCTTTTTGAACACTTTATTATTTTCACAATAAAGATTTTGCAACCTAATCTACATAAAAAGACATATCTGTTAAGGACGTATTTACATGAAAACGTTTTGCAACAACATCATGAACAAATATATTATTAATATCTTTGTACAATCCCAAGTTTTCGTTTTGACACATATCGACAATGATAATAAGCATAATATATATAATATTGTCCACCCACAGACGAATATGATCATTGTGGCACTTTTTTTGTTGTAAGTCCACATTCGACAGTTCTTCTTGGGGCGTGTTGTTAGGCTTCCATGACAGGCAGACATGATGACGTCATATTTCCACGAAGTGGAATTACAATCATGATTATTTCATCATAGATGTCTCAATGTGTATCAATATGTAATCAATGGCTACATTTGATTATGTTCTGAAAGCAATACGGATGTTTTGTGTATAAAACACTTCACAAATTCATTAGTTCTATATTTAATCATATTTTTACTTTTCCTGACCTTTTATATGTAAATCAGTTATCGTCTTGAAAAGGACACTTATTTAACATGCAGACTTATGACAGTCTTACTGTTTTACCATTTTGTCTTTATGCTATACATTTATTTATGTTCTTGACAGAATGTTTCAATTTGTTGTTTCTTATGACAATGGATAAGAAAATAGATAGCCGATTTTGATTTAACATGAGTCAATTGTGGAAGGACACCTAGGAGCAAAGAAGGTGGCAGACAGAGTCACTAGTAAGTTCTATTAGCAGGGGTCATCAGAGGTGTATTCACATTCTGCAGGTCATGTGACATCTGCCAAAGGACCGTACCTAAAGGGAAGATAGCCAAGGTGTCACTCGGTGAGATGTCTCTCATAAAAGCATCATTCAACAGAGCAGCTGTAGACTTGATCAGACCACTGGCACCTATATTTGACAAGGACAATTGGTACATGCTACCCACAGGCAACAACAAACTCACTCTACAATGGAAAGGATCTTTTGAAGTGCAAAAAGTGGTCAACAGAATGGATTATAAGATGCAAAGTGGATTGGAAGACCAAGATCTACCATGCTTATTTGTTGAAGAGGTACTTCAAGAGAGAAGAAGACCTAAAAGGTGCAGCTATTGAGGCACAAATGGACATTGCTGGCGTGGTTGTCATAGATGCAGAACCAGAAGATGGTGACTTTATCATAGAAGTTGAAGACCTACTAGATCTAATACCACTGAGTAGAGATGAGACATACAAAAATGTCACAACCAGAAGAAAGAGTTACAAGATCTACTGTGCTAGTATCCAGATGTCTTCACAGATAGACCAGGCAAAACAGGCCTCTTGTAATGCAAGATAGAGACCACGACCAGGGATTCAGTCAAGGTGAAGCCCTACCAGATGCCCTATGCAAGAAGTCAAGGCAATGTTAAAAGTTGGAATCAATTAACTTTGGAATTCAGCCTACTGTTCACCAGTGGTAAATGTGAAGAAGAAAGACCGCTAAAACTGGTTCTGCATATATCTCTGGAAGCTGAAAATTGTGATGAAGTTCGACTCTGAACCTATAGGCAACCCAGAGGCTATCATGACGAAACTAGACAGGACCAATTTATTTTCCAAGATCAACCTCAGTAAAGGTTAATGACAGATCCCAAAGAAGACATGATCTAAAGAGAAGACAGCTTTTGTGACACCAGATGGATGCTACCAGTTCAAGAGGATGTCATTTGGTTTAGTCAACTAAGCAGCAACATTCAAACACATGATCAGGAAGATGTTGCACAAAACCACCATCATTGAGCATTATGTGGACGACATTCTGATCCACCCAACCAGATGGGAAGCCCATCTGAAGAAACTCAGAGAGCTGTTTGGGAAAGTGAGAACAGCAGATCTGACCATCAGACCATCTAACTGCTACATTGGTTATTCTGTGCTGGACTTTGCTGGACACAAGTTGGGCAACCGAGAGATAGCCATGGAAGAGGAGAATCTAACCCACTTACAAGATGCACCAGCTCTGATGACCAAGCAGCAAGTTATATTCTTCCTGGGGTTAGCAGGATACTATAGGAAGTTCATCCCAAACTGTGCTGAAGTCACTGTACCACTGACTGATCTAACCAAAAAAGGCCAACTCAACAAGGAGAAATGGGAACACAGCAAATGACATTCCAGAAGTTGAAGAACATGGTAGGAAGTTTGCCAATCCTTAGAATGCTGGACTTCAACAACCGGTTCATCGTTCAGGCCAATGCGTCAGACATTGGAATTGGAGCAGTACTTCTGCAAGAATATGAAGATGGACTGTTTCCGTAATGAATATCAGTAAAAACTG